GAGTTTATCGTGTTTTTTGACTTGCTTCCAAATTACAGATAGTATCTTTAGTTATGCTGACTAAAAACAGAGGTTCTCTTATTGTCATGAACATTTTAAAGATTTTGGATCTTTGCAGCCATCATTGAGTACTTAACACACATTCTTTCTTTATGAACAATCGGCTTATGATATTTGGGTGTTTTGAATTTTAAAGTTTGCAGTTCCTAAACATTTTGGCATACCTGACTGTGCTTTTTCAAGCCCCTCTTCTTCTTTTTTAAAAGGTATTTAACACAGTTCCAGACACACAGCAGTCGAATTCACAGCTGCTTTTGTCTCGAAAGAGAAGTACAGATTCAAAGCCTCCTTCATGCAGTGAGAGGCCTTTAACTCTCTTTCACACAGTGCAGCCTAATGAGAAGCGTAAGTATCTTAATCCTCCATTTAGTATGTTTTGTTGTGACATTGTTTTACAGTGGCCCAGGGGCTCAGTTCTCACATGATTAATGACGTTGAGAAGGATGCAAGTTCAGAAGAGCAGAGCATGAAGGATCTAAGATGTCCCAGTCTCTCTCTGTTCCCTCAATGTTTAAAACAATTGATCTAACTAGCCATGCTCCATTTCCCCCTAATTTCCGCCTACAGATGAATACTTTGCCAAAGGTGAAGTAGTAGTAGTTTAACACCCTTGTCACTTCCTTGTACTGATAAATTTCATCTATTATTTGGCTAATTCAGCTCTCTTGACTGCCTTGAGAACTAGAACAGATGAAAAGACAGCTATTTTAATGAGCAAATGAAATTTGTGTTTGGTTAGAAATGTGAAATCTTGACATCAAAGCAATTAACATTGTCAGTGTAGTGTTCATCTGGGTTTTTATGCTTTAAAAACCCAGATGAACAGTACAAAAGATGGCAGTCAAACATTCTTTGTTTCACTTACATTCTTCCACCATGGAACTCAGGAGTGATGTGCAGGTGTCCAGTCCAGGACCTGACCAGACCCACTTAGTTTCAGCAAGACTTCTGTATTATGTGCCTTCCATCTATTACTCCGCATAGCATCTTTTGTCCAGATTGTCCTTTCAAAGATTTATCACTCAGAAAGCTGCAAACTTAATGTCCCGTGGACCATTCATTAAGAAAATATTGTACAGAGAAAAATCCAGTGGTGTCCAGCATGGCAGCTGTTTTAACAGAGTGGTAGAAGTCATTCTTCCCTCCCATATCTGCCACCTATATATATAAAAGAAAGTCCCCTCACCATAAAATCAACGCCCAGGCCAAACCGCTGGACCTAGAGACACCAAGTTCGGGGAGAGCACTCCTACCATGGCGTAGGTGCTCCCTAAGGAGGGTTTTTTAGAAATTCGACACCTAAGTGGGTCAAAAGGGGGGAAATGTGCTCCCCCCATTGATTCCTATGTGGCTGTTAGGCAGCTGCCTCTCTGCACCCCCCTCTCTGATTGGTCAGCTGCAGAGCTCAGTGTTCTGAGGTAAAAAAAAAAACAGTTACAGGGGACTGCAGACAGCTAATGACAGTTGAGGAAATCAGGACTGGCCAAGAACCAACTGTGAGTTAAAGCAAAGCTGCTGGCCCAGCCTCTCTGATAGCTTCCAACACACTCCCCCCACCTCCTACACCTAACAGGTGGTTGTCTGTTGGGTGCAACCCCACCTCCACAGTGGCTTCTAATACTCCCCCCCTCCTACACTGGACAGGCAGCTGCCTTTCAGGTGTAGGAGAGGAGGTGTGATGGCTTCCAACACACTCTCCCCACCTCCTACACCTAACAGGTGGTTGTCTGTCAGGTGCAGCAGCGGTTGCAGGGTGCTTAAAGCCACAAGGGAGCCTGCCCCAGCAGTAATGCCTTAGTGATCCTGCTAGCCCTGTCTCCACAGTGGCTTGTAATACTCCTCCCCCCTCCCCATCCTACACTGGACAGGCGTAGGAGAGGAGGTGGGATTCTTACAGCCACCATGGAGGTTTGCTCAGCAGGATTGCCTTAGCACTGCTGCTGGCCCAGCCTCCCCGATGCCTTTAAATACAATCCCCCCAACGCCAGACAGGCCGGTGTTTATCAGGTTTCGGAGCAGGACTAAGGTATGAACGTTTATGGGGAGATAGTAAAGGACATTTCTAGGAGCCATTTCGATGCGTGCCTCCCTCATGAACCTGAAGAAATGTCCACCACATCACCACTCCCTCACAACAACTCCCCCTCACACCTCTCACCTCTTCCTGCCCCCAAGAAAGCTCCTGGCAAATGTCGAGCCAGATACACCAATGCTACAAAGAAGAGGCAACTTAGGAATGGGGCAAAGACACCCTGAGGTGCTCAGAACAACACAGTCTCCATATGAGCAAAACAATCCAGGAAAACAAGTAGAGAGGCCATCACTTTTGTGGAAGGTGGCAGGAGTTGACATAACAGACGACTGCTTCTTAAATGGACAGTTCTGTGTGGCCTGCTCCAGAGTGAGCTCACCAAGCAGCCTGGTGATCCTAGCACCTGAGGGAAGAACCACCAATGTGGTCTAGAGAGAGGTCCTTCAGTAGAGAGGGGGGAAAGTACATATTCCTCACTTCAGTTTTTACACTACAATCTTCTCCAATAGAATTCCTGCAACAAATGTCACATTTCAAACTTCACATCATCAGTATTATAAATGGATTTACGGAACTTAAATACTGTAGCAAAGGATGGGTATCAGGCTAGTATATAACATAAAGCAAGTGAAAGTTCTAGCTGATTTGTTAGCACTTCAAAATCTGTTAGTCTCTCCAGTTATTCTTCTCCGGACCAAACTGGACATGATACAGAGATTTTCCACATTTAAACAGAGTTTAAATTGAGACTGGAATGGCAGGGGAGGGGGGAGTTCAGCTTCCCCCTGCATCTCTTTTGCAATCTAAAACAGCCCAGCAGATCTCCTGTTTGCTACATGAAGCAATTTCAGGTAGCAAAACCAGTTTCAAGGAGACTTAACCTCTCCCTTTTCCTGCTATTTAATGGGAAAGAACTACCAGAAACTCTATTCATGGAACTTTCAGGGTTGCACCTGGTTTGGTTCTCTCACTCTTCCAATGAGCGCTCATTGTTTACACTCCAGTAAAGGAGATCAGACAGCTCTCCTTCCTTGTCCCTCTGTTTTCTTACACACAACCTGCCCCCCTTATCATTACACAACCAGAAAAAATGAAGTAAACACTTGTCTTTCTCCAGAGTCACTTTAATGTTGAAACACCTGTGCAAGCCTTACAAACTGAGTGGAATTTCAAATGCTAAGTCAGCAGGGTGTCTGAGCTAGTGAGGTAAACTCCGTCCACTGGCTACTCTTTTCATTTGGAACTAGGCTTGGTTATCTGTCCCCACACCCAAATAACTTGTATGTTAACCCAGACAAGCCCAGTTCTGAAACATGGGCTCACTTGTACTCCCAGTGACCACACTTGGGAGTACAATAGAGTCCAAACACCTCCTGCAACCTACTTTCATCCATAGTGAGGTCTGGCTGCAGTAATCCCTGCCTGTGCCTTGAATGTTACTGTTGCAGATTCTCATCTGCTGAGGATTCTAGGAAATTTACCTTTCTTTTAATATGGACACCTCCTGCCCTAGAAGCCACGTGTCCCATGCCTACTAGAACTTGGCTTGGAAAAAGCAGCCTTCAAGGTGCCAGGGAGGAAGGCACATCAGCCCAAATTGCAAACTTAGCCCAAGAACAATTTTGGAGGTAAATTGGCTCAATTTGAAATGCTACTGAGCATTAAGAGTCAGCCAAACTTGTTTTAGAAGTCAGAAAATTATAAACTTCAGCATCATCCCTAGTCTGGACATGTATGTAGGGCTCCCACCCTTTAATCAAACAGTAATTCATTGAAGAAAATCAAGCTTTTCCTTAATTGAAGAAAGTAAATCTTTTCATCTGCAGACAAGCAGACAGTTAGGCTTATAGATAATAGAAAAGGAACTGGTTAGTTTTATGTAAGAATGAAATAATGGGCATGCAAATTCTTTTAGTTCATTCACATTTTAAAATTAATTAAAAAACTGGTTAGAATTCTGTGGTCTGTTCTCTGCTTTTTGTTACCCTTAAATGAAACACTCCATTCTCTGAGAGTTTCTGCTAAGATTGTTCAATCTCATTTCAGATCAATGCTTTAAAAATGCATGCACTGGATTCATACTGGTTTGTTTGGTGGAAAGAACTGTTTTTCACAGCTTTGACTTGACAGGATATGCTGGAGAATTTTAAAAAAATTCCCTGCCACCTTGGCTCCAGTGCAGATTGGTGTCTTCTGTTACGTTTGTGCACTTTGCCATGTAAAGTTTTGTTCCTCAATCAGTAAACAAAAATAGGCAGATGGATAGTTTCTTCTTGGCTAATGTAGAATAGCATTTCTTTCTAAATCTGAACACACACACACCCATAGAATATTCCTATGCTGCATTCCAAAACATGTACACCTGTTCACAGATCAGTGTATCTACATTCAGTAAGACCAAACTCAGTCTCTTTAACCAATCTGAATGTTTGATAGTCTGCTATAAGAACAAAATTATTTCAGTTTCTAGCATATTGCCCATGTCTTGAAAAAGGATTGGAAGGTTGTCATAGTGTTTCTTTAGAAGAGCTTCCAGGTTTTTTTGGCAATATTGATAATTAATTTCCCACAGTAAATATAGACTGTATAAAATCCCAATGAAATAGACAGTTGTTGCCCTTGCTTTAATTTGCTGAACACTGAGTCACTGCACAGAAACACAAGATACTTAGGAGCATGACCAGCCCTTGTGCTGTTGTACTGTTGATATTTTAATTGGGGCTAAGGGTCCAACTGTTGCGGATCTATGTCTGTTCAGCAGACATAACATATATTAGACAGCAGGGCATTCTGGTATGGGTCTGGACCACATTTATTTACTTATTGGATTTTTATCCTGCTCTTCCCTGTGTGAAGGGCTCAGGGCAGCTTGCAACAGTTAAAACACAGATAAAACAATAAAACAATCTACAGTTATACAAAATTAATCTCACCACGATGGCCCATAAACCTAGGACCATGCTCCTATGGGTCTTTAAAAATGCCCAAGATTAACAATAGGTAGTGGGCAATTAACCCTAGTAATCGTTGAACATATCAGGTCAGGGGGTGGAGCAGGGGAGGCCAGAATAACAGGACACCCGTTGCCTCAACCAAAGGCCCAGCAGAACATCTCCATTTTACAGGTCCTGCAGAACTGAAGCAGATCCCACAGGGCCCTGATCTCACTCGGGAGAGTGTTCCACCAGGCCAGAGCCAGAGTCAAAAAGGCTTTGGTTAAAGCTACACTGGGGGGAGAGGTGTAACTTTCTCCTTACTGTGCCTCTTCCCAAATCAGAAATGTTTTAAACCACAGAACATTTAAGACACAGAAGGGCAATCTGTATTTTTCCCTCTTGGAGCCTATCTGCCCTCTCACCCCCTTCCCCAGCAGTTTCTTAGGGCCAAGTAACACATCAGTTATTCCAGTTATGGATCCCTAGTGCCATATGTAGTATTGCTCTGTGAGTGGAGCTTTTTCACCTAGTAATTACAACGATAAGTCTGTACCAAGTAGGGTTACCGGTCTCCAGGTGAAGCCTGTAGACCTCCCAGAATTATAGTTGATCTCCAGACTATAGAGATCAGTTCCCTTGCAGAAAAGGGCTGCTTTGGAGGGTGGACTCTATGGCATTATACCCCGCTAAGATCCCTCTCCAAACCCCACAATTCCCAATCTTTACCTCTAAATTGCCAGGAATTGCTCCAGCCAGAGTTGGCATCCCTAATACCCAAGACTTTAGATGAGCTAAAAAGAGAAATGTAACCTTGAACAATGTTCCTTTCTCAACACTGTAATCTTCCAACTAACTCTGTTAGACCATCTCAAAGAAATTCCATTGTACTTTCAGGTTTAGGCAGCTGACAGTAACTATAGCATTGGGCAATATGAAATTCTTTAACATTACAAAATACTTGATTGCATTTTAATGGTGTAGACTGGCTAGATGCATAGCAGCATTATCTTCCATCTCAGTTTTCTCTTAATATTCCTCACTTGTTGCTTCAAATAAATTCTTATGGTGCAAGTTGGGCAGAATATAGCCAACCCACGCAGAGAGAGAAATAGGCTTATCTGGAAATAGACCTTAGGTCATCACTGATACTATAGCTAAGAAGTTTTTCAAATCCAGTTTTAAGCACCAGGTCCAAGACCTGTACAGAGCTACCTTGAAATTTAAGAAATTGGTCATCACTGTTGATTTTTTTAAATGCTTAGGCAACTTGCTGCTGGTAAGGATTTTTCTACAGCTCCTCCATGCAAGCCCATAGCTGCCAGCACAAGGAACAAGAGATCTGATGGCCCAGCTCTTTCTTGGGAGATCTCTTAGAAAGCTAGAAATGGCTTTCAGTAAAAGGATATTACAATTGTTTTGATACATAGAAAAGCTATGGTCTTTTCTAGGGTGACTTTTCTAGGGTTAAAGGCAGATCCACACTTGCATTCCTATCAATGATATTATGCTTTTAACCTCAGCTCTAAAGCCAAATTGTGTTTTATGATAACATGTCAGAAGCCTTTTTTCCTTGAGGAGGCTTAATGATGACTTGACATTTCATAAGTAACACCGAAGAAGACTTACCTAACACTATTTAGGGAACAGGACTGCAATGAATCCTGAGAAATAGTTGTTCTCTGTTCATATGATACTCATTTACTGTATCAAAGAGGCCCAAAAAAGAGCATTGTTCAATTCCTGGATTGTAGTTCCTTCAGAACTGGTATTGCTTGTGATAGTAGGAAGACCAGTCACAGCGTACAGGACAAATTAAACTGAACCCAGTGTAAGAAGCGTGAAAATAATATCTGTATCATATGATATTTTAATGTTGGTTGCTTGGCAAGAAATATTTTTTAAGAAAAGGAAACTAATAACTGAGGTCAGTCTTCAGATGACTGACTGTCTAGACCTCAGTGGAAGCTACCAAGAGTGAAAAGGCTTATGGGTTGTAATGTTCATCTTCACAACCGAAAAAGAAAACAGCATGCTTACAGAGCAATCCTTTACAGAGTTAATCCAATCTAAATTGATTGATGTCATTGAAGTTGTGCTGGAGTAATTCTGCATTGAGTTGCACTGTTACTTTTTGAATTGGCAAAGAAGTCACTGTGGAGACTGTTTTAAAATAAAGATTTGACTTAAGAATCAAAGTCTTAATTTTGAATTAATTTCTGCGAAATGATTTGTAGGTATGGAGAATACCTCTTGGATGGGAGTGTGGAGTAGCATGTCAAAGGAAATTTTCTAAATAAATAATCAGAAAAGAATCCCAGCAAGAGACCAAATGTGAATTGTCTCGTGTACATGCAAGAGCTGTAGCTGAGAGAAGGGGGAAACAATTGGGCTAACAATGCAGGATTAAGATTTTAAAAAAATATATAATACAAATAATATTTTGACTTTAGCTTGAGAGAACTTCTTTTACATATAATATGATGTGTTCCCAGCTTCAGTGGCTAATAAATTCCAACATTCTATTTATTTATTAAAATATTTTATGCACCTTTCTACCCAATCAGAGTCCACCAAGCAGTGAACATTAAAAATATTAAAACAATTAAAATACAGTTACCATTATAAAACCATTCACTCAAAAACACATAAACTACACTGGAAGGAGGACCTATGACCCTTTTTGTGTGTATGCCAGACAAAACAGAAAAGTCTGTCTGTTGGCAAAAGACACTAGTAGAGATAGACAGAGAAAATCTCCCTTGGGAGGTAGTTCCAGAGTTCTACGAAAATTCATGGTAATGATTCTTTCTTCCAGAGGAGAACAGGAACAGTATCATCAATTCCAGCCTGGAATCAGTCATATCATCCAACATGAACAGTTTCCTCCGCTCCAACAGCACTCCTCAGTCTAATATGAACTCCAGTGACCCTGACCTAGAAGTGATTAAACCCAACAGGCCAAACTCACTGTAAGTAGAGTCCTAATAGCATGTCAGAAAATCTACTCAGCTAACCCACAGCCTATTTCTTAAGAAAAAGATGTTGCTTCCCTCAAAGAGTATTGAATCAACAATGTCATTTTTTAAAATCAGCATGTAGTCACAGGCGAAATGCCTTGCAAAACCTTCACTGTATTTTGGGCTGCTTTTTACCTCCTGAATAGAAGGGGTGTCTCTTGTGTCTTTATACTGCTTCTTGCTAGTTTGTGCTTGGTTCTTGTATTTAATGCTGGCTGCACAGAGGTGTTTCCCAGTTTCATTGACTCACAGATTTAAAGAAGAAAGGATTTCCTCTTTAGCTAATGCCTAAAACTGCTTTGCCACAGTTGGTCGCGCTAATGTGTGCATTCTTTCTGTTGTTTCTGCATTGGCAAAGTTCCAGTGAAACGATTAGTCCTAAATCTCAGGGGAATGATCCACTGGGAATTGTTCTTAATCTCCTGCAGCTGAGTTCTCACATGAGCAGCAGGCTTCTGTCAAGATGGAAAATTCCATCTTTTCCCCAGGCTATGTTGTGTTCTATAGCAGAATATATCCCAGCCCACCTGAGTTTCTTTTCTGGCTAGAATGGTCTGGAACCTGATGTTACAGAGGTTGTGCAGCTGCTGCCAGTAACATCAGCCCTGGTTCTGTTGCTCATATTTCCCCATAATATCTCAAATTGTAAGACACAGACATGTGATGTCATGAAGTTGTGAGATATTCCCACTCTTGCTCAACCTGGAACAAGGACTACTAAATTCACAACCTAATGGTATCACACTGTGCATATGTTACCAAGGGAAAAAGGAGTAGGAGATATCACACTGTGCATTTTGAGTTTGTATATGTTACCAAGGGAAAAAGGAGTAGGAGATGCAGGGCTTCTGCTCTGGACAGCAACCACATATACTTTGTGATGTCTAGTTCTGGTTCAGCAACAAAAAAGCTGCTTGTCAGGCATACAGTATTATTTATTATGCTGTGCTGCATAATAGCTCCAGAAATGGAAGAACGGAGCATGCTCAGTTGCTCCCATTACCGGAAAAGCCTGCCAGTGGCTGAAATTGACAAGTGGCTGTTTTTGTTGCTACACAGGGACTGCATGTCACTCATAAGGCAGTAGCTGGTTTATTTTTGTCAGGTGTTCATCCTGCGACCAAGTGTATTTCCCTTTCATAGATACCAAGTGGACAAAGGTGATGTTGCTGTCACTCAAACATTCTGGAAACATGAAAAGAGTACAAAAGGATATACTAAATGACTTATTAATTTCTTAGTTGCCAAACTCTCTACGCAGTTGTGTGTATATTTTTCATTTAACTATTCAGATCCTGGTTTTCATATAAACCATATCGTAGCTGGTGATTTCCATAGTATAAGAAACTCAGACTATGCAGGCTTAAAAAGTAACCAAGATTTTACCTCTCAACTTAAAGCTCTGTTTCCAGTCCTCCTCATAAGATCTTTATAGCACCAAGAGAGGAAAGTGTATAAAGTTTATCTCAGTGTTTGGCCACTGTGGAAATACCTGTTTACTTTTCTTGTTGAAATTTACTGAATATGAGATTTTAATGAAGTTTTCCGTTTCCTGTGAAGATGGTGGACATCCTTTCAATTAGGAAGAAAGTGGAGATCCTGGAACTTTTTGAGAGTCGAGGTGTCACAAACACTGATAAAAGATTTGGTCAAGCTCTATAGTTTACAAGATTTTCTCAGTCTAGAGTTTCCAAGGAGGAACAGTAAAGGTTACATCTTCTCCTGTCTTCCTGCATGTGTTTAGAACCCTGGCTTCTTGGGCTAGAACTGAAGAGTGTCCCTAGCTCAGACTGTAGCTCTTATTGTAATATAAATCACTTTCTTTATTGCCCCTTTTCTCCTCAATGAGGAACCAAACTGGCTTCCATCATTCTCCCCTCTTCCACTTTATTCTCACAAGAATCGTGTGAAGTACGTTAGCCTGGGAGAGAGTGACAGTCCCCAGATCATTCAGTGAGTAGTAGTACGGATTTATTCGGTCAGTGATCAGAACAAATAATAAAATTACAAGCTACAGACAAAAAAAACTCAAACAGAAAGGGTCAAGCATAATACCCAATTTACAGACACAATATCAAATTATATAAAATTTGCTAAAATTTAAATTCAGTACACATTATTTCCTGGCGGATTTTACAGGCCGCCACAAAAAAATGCACACAACAGATTGTAGTCTGAGGGTTGTCACCCATGAGGAACATCCTTAAAAATATCATAGTCGGAGCGGCCAGGAAATGTTCTAAGCAATGGAAAAATAATTTTAGGCAAATTTCCTGATAGAACCAACAATAAAGCAGAACATGTTCAATTGTTTCCACCTCAACGTCACCACAAGGGCAAATTCTCTCCTGCATGGGGATCTTTTTAAAACTCCCCTCTTACACCGCAGAAGGGAGAACTCGCCATCTAGCCAGAGAGAATGCCCTCCATTGTCCCAGAATCTCCAACAAGGAGCGATAGGGTGCTGGAGTGACAATATATCTAAGGTTTTCTGGAATCAGAAAATTTGGGACACTAGTAATATCTTCCTGTCACTCAATGTCCAACAGCCTTTGTTTTACCATTGCTAATGCTTGATCATGGTCCATTTCTAGGAACATTTGTATAGAACACCCTAGATTCAGCAGCTTATGATGTGCTGCCTTTACCCAAGAAGATTGTCAGATCCTGTGAGATATAATTGCCAAAAGATATAATTTTGTTTTTTGATAGTTAATTTCTAGCTGGTTCTCTTCACAATAATGGCTGAATTCCTTAAGCACTGCTAAGCAGGTTGTTGATATAAAAAATTAACAACAATAGCTCCAGAACACAACCTTTTTTCGCTCCTTTAGTTGTTATTATTGGATTGGAGAGATGTCCTTTCCCGTTGCATCTGAACTTGAAGGATGTATTGAAATATAAGGCTCGAATTAAATATAAAAGCCTATGATCTATGTTCGTGGCTTCTAATTTTCCCCATAAAAAACCTCAGAAATAGAGTCAAAGGCAGTTTTTAGGTCAATAAAAGCTGTGTATAATGAGACTGAACTATTAGTAAGCTTCCCTGGTAGAGGAGATTGAGATCTCTTTCTCCCACCACTATACCATGCTTGTTCTTTCAGAATAGGTGAGTGCTGGCAAAACACTAGTAACAGTGAAAATACAGTTTTGTACTATCTGGTCCATTATTAAAGAACCCAAATAGAATTTCTGAAGTGGATATAACAGGCAAGTCTATTTCAAATTATAAATACTTTTACCATAAGTCTTTCAGGTTTTATGTGTTTAATTTAGTCTGTTTGCTTATAATCACTGATTACCGTAAGGAATACAGTATATAGGTTATAAAGCATCATCAATTAACTGTCTGCTATAAGCATTGCTCAACTGAATAGTCCTCCTCCATGCAGGGAGCATGGATTTTTGCTGAATTCCCCCTTCCCAGCAGTCCCTACTTAACCCAGAAGGTTGATTCCTGGAGTTGCAGGCTCTGCATGAACAAATAGCTATGTTGCTACAATATGGCAGGGGGATGAATTCATCTCCCTCTTCTGCAAACACAGAGCTCCACTGGCAGAAGGTGGAAAAGTGGTGATTTTGCCCACACTTAACTGCAGCCTACCACCCTTTGTGCACACACAGGTTCCAGAGTTTTCTGCGGTCAGGAAGGATTTAATGGTAAAATAAATTTATGGACACATTTAAACAGCAGTTATCTAGGTGACATTTTCTAGTCGTTTTCATATAACTTCCTCTTAGAATAAGTTCATTCACTTGTTTGAAAACAAAGAACCATTAACACCTTCTGTAGACAATCAATAAGTACCAATAAGTGTGTTTTTAATAAACAATACCCTAGTGAAAAGTCATATTATTCATATGCTGCTGTCTCTTTCTTCTCAAGAGGCTGTTTGATCTGGCTTTGCTTCCTTGCAGTAGCGAAGGGTCTAGACAGTATTGTCATATAATAATTCCAATAAGACTGGTGGGGAGGGTTGTCCTGTGCTCCCACATGATTATGGCAATCTGGTTGCTTCTTTTTCAGCCAATAAAAGGTTGGAACACTGTTAACCTTAAAAAGTCCATGATCATTAACATTAGAATAAGGGTGCAACAAGGTAAGGAGAAAATGTTCTAAAAGAAAAAAAATCATCCTAGATCTACTCTGCTAGTGTCTACCATCCTCCTGGGTTCTGTATCACAAATCATTTGTCAAAGGCCTTTGTTTTCAGAAACTTTCTCCACAGAAAAGCAAATAATCTTCTTTTGATCTAGAAAAATTCATAACTGCATCCATGGATCTAATATCCTGCAATGTAACTCACTTGAAAAGGTTACCCCAGGAATGTTTAAAAACCTGGACCCTGGTGTACATGAAATTGTGAACCTGTTCTGCATTAATTTAGGTGAGTACCTGTGTTGGTCTGAAGCAATAGAACAAAGTCTGAGTCCAGTGGCACCTTTAAGACCAATAAAGTTTAATTCTGGGTATAAGCTTTATACCCAAAATTAAACTTTATACCCAGAATTAAACTTTGTTGGTCTTAAAGGTGCCGCTGGACTCAAACTTTGCATTGATTTAGTCAGCTTGCCAACTATAGCTCACTTGGGGGGGTAGGTTATGTTAACACCAAATGGATAATTTCTGCAAAACAAGGCCTTAAAGAAATACCACATCTCTACTAGGTGACAGGACCAATCTCTGTTGTTATATCAAAGGATGATGCAGGGTCCTTAAATGCAGTATTCAGTTTATGGCTTCTTTTAATTGCTTACCACCTTTTCATCAGGTGGTCCAGGGCAATGCATGGAACTTCATGAAATGCAGCTTGTTCCTCTGCTGTAATCAGCTTATCTTATGACAGACCTAATAACAGTTTTAAACTTCAGAAGAAACACCACTTACATTAATGAGATCATTTCTCTGATCCCATTCTTATGAATTTTTTATGAATTGGAACAATAGTGCT